GGACAAGGCCTTTACCTCAAGCAAATCAAGGAAAATGTGCTTGACCTCTATGTGCCCACCCTCCACTTTCCCACCCCTCACCCGTCAACATCCAAGCTAAACAGTATGAGGAAAAAAAAGATTGATGCTTCAATTATGAACAGAGCAGGAGTGTGTTTTTTAAATTACATAAAACTGCCATGATGTGTAGAGCAGTATTTTTTTCATAGAATACATCTTCTGATATGTGTAAATCATTAATCATGACTAAAAAGAGTTGGTTCCAGATAAAGCAGTGCTTACTTCAGCCTGCCATGCTCTCTGCTCTCTCATCTGCATCCCTGACTAAACTTCAGAAATCAGAAAGTGCTGGAAGGCTTTCTGATGCACAAATCATGGACTGACTCAAAAGCTCTCAGGTATTTGTGTAAGCAGCTCCTCACTTGCAGGAGGTCTTTATCAGTAATTGCTGCACTGAGCTTTGCCCCTCAAACATAGCACTATCATTTCTTTGACATTTTGTGTGTTGTTCTAAAGTGTTTAAAGATAGCAGTCTGTAGTTCTTTCTTTATTTCTACCCTTTTGTCATTCCCTCTGTGCCTAAAATTCCCCAGTCATGTTCACAGAGTTGCAACAAAGCATCAGTCGAAGTCTGGTCTAATAATGAAAAATGCCCTTCACAAGTCTCAGAGGCTGAAGTGACATCTTAATGTTGCTTGATTTATTTTGTGTCGCAGACAAATCCCAAAAAATATTATATACAACAAAGAAAAGCAGCAAATCATCACATTTTAAAAGTTAAAACCAGGAAATTATTTGCATTTTTACTTGACAGATGACTTTGCAGTTCACCAGTTTTTTAGTTGTTTTTTTTTCCAGCAATAATTTGCATTCACAGTTTGTACATGAATGAAGCTTGGCTGTGAACACTTTGACTGCTCAGCGCTAGAATTATCAGAGCACCATTAGTCTCAGGGTTTATTGCAGGTCCTCTGAGTGTCTGAATGGCTTTTCTGTGGGCTGGCAGTATTCAGGGTGCGTACAGCCACTCTTTTGAAGTGGAAACATAGTCTCTGTGGGGATTTGACCAGATCACACTCATAATTCGCATTGAGAGGAAGGTCAGTATGCCCTACTCTAGCCAGAACTCTCTCTCTCTCACTCTGTTTTGTGTGAGAAAGATAACCCACACTGAAGTATAAAGAACCGACATGAGAAAGAGAAAACAGCGTATTGTAGTTGTGCTGAGAAAATGTGCTGCTGCTGCCAAAAAGCAGTAGCTGTCAGAGACTAACTGCCCACTCCTCCGCGGTCCTCAGATTGGCATGTTTTCCAAAATAAAAACCACTGCCCATTCTTCTTCTGTGACTGCAGTAATGCATGAAAATATCTCAGCTGTTTGGTGGTTATCATGTATTTCTTATTAAGTGATGAGCACATAGGCTTTGATGGGTTTTCACCGAGAGGAATGACAAAGCAGTTCCGTTGTCGATATGCTTTGCTTCTTCGTGTCATTACTGTATATTTTCTTATGCTCACTTTTTTCACACTAATAATAATTGGCCCCAGTGAGAACCACAGAGAAAGAAAGTGTCGAATTAAATTGAACAAGTCATGCAGAACAACATACTGTAGCAGCAGTGAACAGAATTTTATTTCTGCATTCAAGCGATAAGGTCACAGGAGGAAAATCAGACTAGAGTGAATCTTTGCTTTACATGTACAGGCAGTAACGATATTTGCTTGTGATATCATCAGTGTGTAACATGATCAAAGGCAGAAATGATGTTTGACATTTCTGCATTTGCCAAAGAGAAAAGAATGAGTTTATGAACTAAGGCGGTTTTTATAAAACTATATTACACACAATCCACTCCCTGTCTTTTTCA